TTATTAATAATGCGATAGTCCACGAGAATACCCGCGCCGGAGTTTCGAAGGCTGCGGCGGTGCATCCCGTCCGAGCATCAGCGTCAATAACCGGGAATATTTCGCGAGAGAACCGGAGCCGTGCGCTCTTTTTTTTCCTCTCCTTGCCTCCCACCCTCTGTTGCTCTCTCTCTCTCTCTCTTTTNTAATAAATCTGCTTTTCATCACCATTAACAATTCGATACAAAAAAACTCTTTTTTTCTGGCAATTAGAGCAGTGACGATGAGTACACGGGTCAGCATGTTCGCTTCGGCCAGTTCATGTGACACCCATTTCCTTTGCATTTAAATTTTTTCCATCGTATGTAAACGGTCAGAAACTGTCGGAACTGCAATATTTAGTGCCTCAGCCAATTCCTCGAGTGTTTGAAATTCATTGTGGTCCAATAATGCTTGAAGTCCGGCGTCTTGAAACTTTTTTGGCTGATCTGGATCTTATTTCTTGTTTTCCTTGTTTTTTATATCAAAATCACCACATTTGAATCATCGTAGCCAATCTGTACAACTTGTTTCTGATGGAGCAGAGTCACCATAAGTTTCCACTAATATTCGATGCGCTTTAGTTGCAGTTTCTTATATATCAAAGTAGTGGAGAACATATTGAAAAAACAACTTATTGCGTTTAATTTTGAATTGATTTAAAAAGAATATCACTGCATACAAACATAAACCTTGGTGGATTGAATTCTACTGAAAAACGTCTAACCTTTAATATAGCATAAGTACTAGTTGTCACAGTTCACTACATTTACAGTTGGAGCCGTCTAAAGGCAAACAGCGGAATTAACCGAAACACCTAATATATTAAAATGTTTCATGATTACATATTTTGTACATATTTGTACTCCAAACTCCCTCTATCTCTATATGTATGTATATGTGTGTATTTGTGTATGTGTATTTGTGTGTGCGCGTGTGTTTCCTTCCGTTATCCGGACTGATTCTATTTAACAGCACACACATACGCGCGCGCATAGATACATACACACGCATACACACATAAAGAGGGGTAGAGGGGTACTTCGGTGACACAAAACGCATACATACACTCTATGGGCGTGGAAACTTTTTTATTTAAATTATAAACTTTGGAACGCTGTAACCCACTGGAAAATTATCTAATTTCAAGAAACAAAAAAATTATCGTACTCGTCTCATTGTCAACTACAACTTTTCTTTCGAAAAAAACCGATTTTCATTTAAACTTAAATTTAAAAAAACTAAGAAAAATTAAGAAAAATGAAAAAAATGAGTCAAAGATATAACAGGTAGAAAATACTTTCTAAATAAAAATTTAATGGTTCTATTTAATGATACCATTTAAATTTAAAAAAATGGTCACCATAATGAAATTTCTAATATAGTGCCATCTATAATTAAATTAATAATATAATTATATTCTCTCCTCCAAACCATAAAACTTTTATCTGAAACATTTCCTTGAAAAACTTCTCCTTTTCGAAATATTTGCGTGCATTGAATAAAATGGTCTATTTTGTATAATAATTTGTAATTTGTAATATAATTACATGATTATATGATAAATTATATAATTTTGCATAATTATATAAGTAGTTAAACAAGGCGGGTTCTAACCCAATTTTCAAAATGAATTTTCAAAACCCTGACTTTACTAATGAAATATTTCCAAACCTGACTTTATTAATGAAATATTTTCAATGCTGACTTTATTAATGAAATATATTCAATCCTGATTTTATTAACTAAATATTTTATATTAATACCACCCCGTCTCTCGAACGTCTATCGAACATCTATCGAACGTCTCTCGAACGTCTCTCGAACATCTAATAATCATACCGCAAATAAAGAACTGTATTTTTATCAAACACAATTATCATATAAAATCCTAAGAGGTGAAAGGGGATAAGCGTGTTGGAAGAAACATCTGTACATTTGAAATAATGTTTTATTAAGTCGTCGTATAATTCTCTCCAAGACCACTAATTGAAAATGTTTAGTACATTCTGTAAAGCACAATTTTTCATATGATTATTACATCGAAAAGTATTATTCAATTTTTGCAAAGAAGGCATGTTATCGTAATCGGTGTCCACGTTGCTTCTCACATTGTCATCCGGAAGGTGTAACAACCATTCCTGCTTCTCATGCCCCTTTTGTGTATACCTCATGCAACTTGGATCTTATGTACGATTGACACCGACTCGTTTCAATTTCCTCTCTCAAACAATACGTGTAATCGTCAAAATTTATCGTTCGCGCTATAATATTCTTCTTAACACCCTTCGCCCTTTTAGTATCCTTTTTACCTTCTACTTTCAGCGCATACATTTTTGCTCTGAGCCCGACGAATTCTGTCATTATAGCTCCGTTATTTTCATTTTATATAAGTCCTGGAATTTTTTTGTTCGTAAGCGATGTACCGTATATGTTATTTTGAGGATAATCGCTCGTATCAAACCCATAGAGCTAAGAATCTATGGACACAGCGCAAAGCATATAGGTTGGGAAATATGCGGTAAGGGGGGTATAGTGCTGTCTCTTTCTACAATAGGACACCGTCGGGTGTTTCCGCCACATACACGATGATTTCCGAAGTTAACGAATATAACATATATAAGTCTTTTCCCAGCAAATATAATATTACATGTAATGTGCATGTTAGTTGTAATTTCCTAATCAACAATATAATTGTTATATAACACTGTTATATAACAATATAACTGTTATATTGTTACAACAATGTAACAGTTATATTGTTGAGTAGAAAATTACAACTAACATGCACGTTACATGTAATACTGTGTTTGCTGGGGAAAGACTTATATATGTTATATTCGTTAACTTCGGAATTAAGATACGTAATCTGAATTGTTTCTAATCGTTAATTTAATGAAATATAGATGTATATTTAACATAATTAACATTAACATAAACTACGTTTACACAGCAAAGTTAATCCGGATTAGTAACAACCGTAGTTAGTGAATTTTTTGATTCGATTGGTATATTCTTTTAAATCTAAAAATATACTCTAATCAGATTCGAGACTGCACTAATTACGGTAGTTACTAAGTCGAAGTTAGAAGCCATGTAAACGTAGTCATACACTAAACATCTAAACTTACTTTAAATATGACTACATTTCACAATGTTTATAAACGAAATAAAGTTCAAAATCAAACAATATTATGTACTTGTGAAATGAAATTCTGCTACAATACTCTAGTTCGATCTGCAAGGCTCTTTTTCTTCTTGGATCGGTCCGATTAATACAGCCCGAAATTATGCAGGACGGCATTGTCAAAGAAAAAACACAAAACTTTCTTTTCATTCACAATAAGTTGAATAAAAAACTTCGAAGCTCAATCTCTTTGACATGTTTATTAACTATATATTTTAAGCTTCGGATATCTTCGGTCAAATTCGTTCATTAGCCGACAGTGTCTTATTGTAGAAAGAGACAATAGGTGAATAAAGAAGGAGAGTGCTCTCACTCCCCTTACCGCAAATTTCCCAATCCTCTTGCCACAAAGCTTACTTTGCGCTCTGTCCATAGATTCTTAGGCCCATGATCAAACCTAGCAATGTCACGTTTCATTAGCTCATACACATCGTCGGAGATTACATGGTAAATTAAACTATCTGTGTCCGTATACAGTACTTAACATTTCTCGCAATACAGAGGTGACATGTACTTATGGTGAAATTCATACAAGCAGGTCTTAGATATGTCGAGAATACACATACCCACATAGATCGGCTTGTTGAACTTCACTTCGAGTTTTCGCAATTCAGCGGCAATTAAATTTTCTGAAAAGATACTCCTGCTATGAAAATTTGGCATTGCGACCATTGCCTCTGCATCTTATCGTCCATCCCATTTTGTCAAAAGTTTTACATCGAAATGATTGCGAACATTTTCCATTGTTTTGCCGTGTTACGTCCTAGAGGAGGAGTGCAACTTTGCCGTTCGCGGTAAAAGCGAACCTCGTTGTACACACGTGTCAGGGAACGGGTCAGGAACCCGACGGGTCCCTTTACTCGCTCGCTGACGTACGACGAGCGTCCGTTTTTCGGTCAGGGAAGCGAATCCCTTTATCGGGGATAGGACCATGAGTCGACTGTTGGAAGGTGGGGCGATTTTGAAATTAATTAATGGAAAATTAGATATTTAACAAATTTATTAAAATACAGATGACAAACAAAATGATATAACGGCGCTATTTAAAATATGACAATTTATGGTTATGCGAATGATTGTATGTGTATGTGTGTCTGTATGTGTGAGAGAAAAGGAAAGAGAGGAAAAAAAGAAGAATAAGAGGAATTAATAAAATGGTGATAGGAAAGGTAGATAATAATGAAAGTAAAACCTACTGCTGGTTCCAAAGCAGAGAGAGAGAGAGAGAGAGAGAGAGAGAGAGAGAGAGAGAGAGAGAGAGAAAGCAACCAAAAGAAAATGCTGCTGGTCTGTGTGGGTGTGCAACGCTGGCTCTGTCGCTCACAGATTTCCAATTCGGCACCGGTTATGTTACACACAACTATGTGTTTTTTTTTCCTTAGATAGCAGATAATAATTAAAACTGAGTGTAAACTTTCAAAATCAAACGACAAAAAGAGAAGTATCAGAATGCCGAACTTGTCGTTCTAATTCGTGTGCTGGTCAGGCGAATAATGTGCTAGACTTTTCATTTTACTTAAAACGTCACCTCGGTTGAGAGGATGGGGTTGTGGAAATTGTATCGGGGATCTAAGGTCTATCTCCATCTATTAGAACTTTGTTGTTAACATTTTCGGAGGTTGGGTTTTAGAGTTGCGTCAGGTCCAGGGTGCAGGGGTCCAAGGTTTATTAGAACTTTTCCAGAGGTGGGATTTTGGAGTTGCGTTGCATTGTTGTAAAGGATGAGGTATCTATGGCGATAGGAGTTTTCGTCATCTCGTTAGGTTTAGTGAGAATTATTGGGTAATATGACGGGATGTGGAAAAGTTGTGAGTTCGTGAGGATTAACGAAATCAGATATCGACTGGTCAATCCGGAAAGTGACTCAGTGGATTTTCTTGACAAACAACTAGAGGACTTTGGTCTAGAGGGAGATAAAAAAAAGGAAATCGGTATGTGATGTCATCGTGCTCGAAATATCGCGGAACATGTTTGTTGAATATAATATTTAAAGTGTAGCGAGCAACATAAAATCAATTCGCTCTATTTATAAAAGGGGCTAGAATACGCGGAGTCCGCAGGACGCAGGACGCAGAACAGCCGAACAGCCGAATACCGTGTTGTTCATCAATTTGTATAAATGTTTCTCAAAATCGTTTGTTGCATGCGTTCGAAACTGTATATTTAATTCTATATAGTTGCGTAGCCATGGACATCGTGCGAATTGGAGTATGCGATGAATCTTTCCGATACGAAGACCATTGCGTGTGCATTGCTGCAGGTTGCGATAATGAATAACATAACGCTGCCTATTATATAAAGTCGCAAGGAGTTTTTTTTGCCTTTTGCTCGGGGGCTTCGTTTGCATCGGATAGAACGGTAAATCTATGTGTGCATTATGCAGGTGTTGGGGATATTCCAAATCAACCTCGAGAATATAACCTGTGAGCGAATCTAGCGAGATTGATGATACAGTCTGTAAAGTAAGAGCGTGTACGGGTTAATGTGTAGAAAAATTTATTTTTAATGATTTTTAAGTACATGGATTTGTTGTACTCCATGAGAAGAAAAATGCTATACCATTAATAATGAGTCCAGTCACCACCGGCATTGATAATTGCCTGGCATCTCCGAGGCATACTTTCCACTAAGTTGACTACGTATTCATTCGGTAAAGACCTCCAAATGAGACGAATTTGTCGTGTCAGCTGCTTCAAAGTGCACACTTTTTCCTCGAAGCTTGTGCTTGAGATATGCCCGCACATTTTCAATGGGATTTGCATCTGGCGACTGTGGTGGCCAATCAAGTGTGACAATGCCAGACTGCTCTTTCCACTCGGTGCAAAGCTTGCTCCGGGTTTTGGGTCGTTGTCTTCCTGTAAGATCCAGTCTTCGTTTTTTTTTTATGAAGCATCGTTCAGCAATCGGCAACAAACACTTCTCATAAATTTTAAGCATTTTCGGAGCATTTAAATTGTATGTAAACAGATGTAATGCTCCAAAACCTTGTTTTGAAAAGCAGCCCCAAAGATGAACTTTTACAGGGTGTTTAACAGTCCGTTGTATTAATCTATTGGTCAAGGTTGACCAGGAACGTCGGATGGCAATATATATCCTCAAACAGAAGCTTCGTCCGTAAAGATCACGTTGCTCCAATCTCGGTCCAAATTTTCCTTTGCCCAAGCGAGTCTTTTCGTCATATGTTTTTCGCAGTGGTTTCTTCACTTGTGCTTCGATATTTGAGGTTATGCGCAAGGAGATGGGTTCGAATAGTTGTATGTGATACTTCTATATCCTTCTGTTTTAATTTTGCTGCTCCTTGTCGCAATGTTAAGGTCGGGTTCCGCTTAAATTCACAATTTTTTTCCATATTCGACGTCACTTTGCCTATCGAGCCACGTTCTGGCAAGTCATCGATATTTTTTATCTTTTTATGATTGCTGAACCCAATTAGCGATGAACGATTTTGACTTTCCTATGTATTTAGCAGCCGATCAAAACTTGAAATGCGCTAATGGGGCAACGTGTTGACATTCAAAGATTTCTGCAGGCCAATTTTTACAAGTCATCATCTCCCCCGATGCGTATAGAAGAATTAATCATAACGTTATGTAAGATGTACAACTCACAATTTACATCCCGGCACGTTTTTCTCTGGACATATACGTGACGTCACGGTCGCCATCTTACCCCATAGAATCAAAAAATTCTGGGGAGGAGGGGTATCAATAAGAGGGGGTATCAATAAAGAGGGGGGAGAATGATAATTAAAATATTTAATTAGTAAAGTCAGGATTGAAAATATTTAATTAATAAAGTCAGGATTGAAAATATTTCATTAATAAAGTCAGGTTTGAAAATATTTCATTAATAAAGTTAGAATTTTGAAAATTCACTTTGAAAATTGGGTTAGAACTCGCCTTGTTTAACTGCAATTTGACATTATGGTACATGACTTTTCTTCTCGGTTACACCCAATCGATCTCCAACTTTCGTCTGCATGATCAGTTACCAACACCCTGTATATAACGTCTTTTTGGTTGGAAGGCTTGGACCCTGCAGGGCCTAACTTTAATGACTATCCGGAGCTCTGTCTCTCGTCCTCTGACGCGCGTTTCGTAGACATCATACATACAGACCAAGGATACTACGGTATTAACCTAAATAGAGGCACAGTGGATTTCTTCCCGAACGGCGGTTATCGTTTACAACCCGGTTGTCAGAGAGCTCTCTATATTTACCCGTATGGTATGTACGATGTACCTTCGAACTGTGAAGCAAATAAATGATACTTTATTTTGATCGTCCGTCGTTTCAGATATCTGCAGTCATAAACGTTGCTGTGAAATCTACGCTGAGTCTGTGAACAATGAGTTAGCCTTCCTGGGGGTGGAATGTTCTTCATGGGATAACTTTTTATCTGGCGAGTGTAACAATAATACTCAGGTCATCATGGGTTACGGAACTCCGAATACTGCGTAAGCAAAAGGACTTTTAAGAATCAATTTAAAAGAAAATAGAATGTACTTGTTATAGAGTTAAAGTGTGTTCTGAGACACGTAACTCTCATTTTCCTCTTTTGTCTTGCAGAAGCGGCACTGTTTATTTCAAGACGGCTGCGGAAAGTCCTTTCGGGCTGGGAGAAGAAGGAGTTTAAAATACGCCGTCGTCATATAGTACGATGATCGACGACTGCATCAAATCGAACTGCAACTTCATTGTATTGTTATTTATTATCCAAATATGTTGAATCTAAAATAATGTATATGAATAGAGTTCTGTCTCACAAAATCATTTGGAAGAGAGACAGTATGTTCTGGTAACCTATTTTTCGTGTAGAATTTGATAAATTAGATACTCGTGAGCCAGCACCTCGAGAACGATAGATTTCAGAGCCGTTAGTGTGTTTAATTTCAAAATCGAATAAGATGCACTACATATCACGCAACGAAAATTCATAGAATTATGTTTGTAATTTGCTTCATTATTGATCTGTTCTTTGTAGCTACACTGTTGAACTGGTGCAATAAGTTAGAGTGAGAAAACCTATATTTGTCTCACTTTAACTTATTGCACCAGTTCAACAGTGCAGTTACAGAGAACAGACCATATGATATCAATTTTATCGGCTTGGTCTCTGTACAATGTCGGATCGATTTTTATGTATCGATTGGAGTAATGGACGAAAGTATTTATGCTAACCTGAATTTTTCATAACTGTAATAGGACAGAATTACTGTTAAAAAGGCAGCGCGACTATAATAACGTATGACAGAACTTCATAATTTACTTTACTTATGATTATTCTCCTACTTATATTCTGTATACAAACATATTGAATTACAGTTATAAAACAATTAATAATTTACGAGATATTTTATATTTCATGTAAAAATATGCCAAAATAACAATTTACGCAGTAACAAATGGCGATCATGATACTATTATTTATCATATGCATTCGGAAACACAAACATGTGTACAATAATAATAAAGTTATATGTTCAATTTACAATTAGTAATAGATAAAGAATTAACTGTAAACAGTTTGGCTCATTTTCTTATCGTGTGTATTATAGCGGTATAGAAGGCCATTGCATACCGGATCAACTGTTGAAAAGGCTCCGATTACTTCAGAGAAGAATATACTGATAAGGGAATAGGGGAAGATACAACTGATTTCTCACTGATTTTGATGCATTTATATATTAAGTGCTTGAATAAATTTTCGCTGTTTTTTGCAACAAAAACTTATGTTTATTTTAAAAGAATGGTTATTACATTATATTTCATTCAAAATATTTAGTACATTATATTTCATTCAAAGTATTGTCCTTCGGAAGCTACAACTTTTTTTTACTTTTCGGGGAACACATGGATTCCGCGGTAGACAAATTCAGGTTTTTTTTAGGCAATCCAGTCATCAAGTCATTTTTTGATATCTTCGAAAGATCTAAAGTGCTGCCCAGAAAGACCATGCTGCATCGACCGAAACAAATGGTAATTTGAAGAAGCAATGTCTGGTGAATAGGGCGAGTAGGGTAAGAGATCCCATTCAAATTTCTCCAAGATTTCCTTCACTGGTCACACATGTGGTCTAACATTGTCATGGAGAAGAATAATTTTGTCATGTTTTTCGGCATATTGCGAGCGGTTTCCTTTGAGTGTTCGATTTAAATTGAGTAATTGTCGTCGGTAGCGTTCAGCATTAATACTTGGACTCGGTGGCAGCAGCTCATAATATATTACACCGACTTGATCCTATCAAATGCACAGCATGACCTTCTTTCCATGAATATCCTATTGTGGCGTTAATGTTGATGGTGCGCCGGAACACACTCATGATTTCTTGCATTTAGTATTGTCGTAACGAATCCATTTTTCATCGTCAGTCATACTTCGATGCAAAAACGACTTCCGCTTTTGTCTTTGAAGCAGCAATTCACAAATAGTTAAACATTTCGGAATGTCTCTTTCTCTCAATTCATGTGGGAACTAATTTCCTAGCTTCTGGATCATTCCCATTGCTTTTAAACGTTTGCTAACGGTTGACTCATTGACATTTAGTGTTTCCGACAACTCTTTGAGCGTCTGACATGAATCTTCTTCCAATAATGCCTCCAATTCTCCATTTTCAAACTTTTTCAGCTGACCAGGGCGCCCTTTGTCATTCACGTCAAAATCGTTGTCTTTGAATCGTCTAAACCGATCTCTGCGAGTTGTTTCAGATAGAGCATGCTCCCTATAAGCTTCCACTAACAAACGATGACTTTCAGCAGCAGATTTCTGAAGGTGATGAAAGCAGAAAAGTAATGTTCCCCGCAAATGCTCTTTTTTGGTACAAAACCCGACATCTTTAATGCAATAAAAAATTGTGTTCTTTGCACTCCTATCTAACGTCACACATTGATTACTAAAGGCTGTCGACAGTACTTTCATCTACACCAGGGGTCACTTTCGGCCATGTTGAAATAGCAACTACTGACATTCATTAGTCAATAGTGAGAATTAATTCAAGCACCTAATATGATGAAAGTAAATCGAAAATGAGCACATATATATGAAAGCTTTTATTCAAATAGCTTTTATTCAAATTTGCTAATAACATATTTCATACTTGAAAACTTAATTATTCGATTTAAGTTTACTATATAAGGCAAAATGAAACAAAATAAAGAATTTTTAACAATAGCACGTAGCACAGTAGTCAGCGCGTCTTATAAATAAGATGGTGCTCTTGTGATCGATTGTAGTCTTTCTTTTTAAATAATCTATGTTTATTATTACATTAATATAAAAGATAATGTTAAATTATATTAATTTAATTAATACGTAATGTAATTTGGTGTATTTATATAAGATTTTACAAGTAAAACTTATATGAAACTTACTTTTTTAAATAAAAAGGTAAAAAAAGGGCGCCAAGTACAAGCGCAACACGTATTGTGTTATTTTTAGAAGTATCAAACTCAAATTATTTTTTTTATTGTATATATGTGTATATAAGTTTTTACGAGTAAAACTTATAACTATAATAAAACTCTGTAACACTCTTCTACTGTACAAAAGAAGTGATATATTAGAACAGTAGCGCCCACTGCGAAACCTAACATATATATATGATTATTGTATACTTAACTTAATATTTTTAGAAATCTCAAATTCTAATTATTTGCTTTTTTAAGATATATATTATGTACATAACATAAGTTTTTATAATATATGTACATAAACTTTTAAAAGTAAAAATAATATCGTGTTATAAAAATTTAACATGTTTGTTAATAGTATCCAATATTTAAAAAAGTATCTTTTCAAATATTATGTACATAACATAAGTTTTTATAAGTAAAACTTATCAAATTATTTTTTTTGTAAGATATATATATACATAAACTTTTAAAAGTAAAAATTATATCGTGTTATTAAAATTTAACATGTTTGTTAATAGTGTCCAATATTTAAAAAAAAATATCTCTTTAAAGGTTATGTTATTCAAGATATTCAAGAAAACCTAGCTACAAAAGATGTCCATAACATAAATTTTTACAAGTAAAATTTATCATTCTTTATTAGAACACTGAGTTATATGGTTATTTTACTTGTTATTGTAACAAATTAATTATTATAACAATGCAATAAAAAATATTTAATGCAAAAATCTTGGCGCGGCTGCACCAAAAACTATTTCGAACTAAAACTTGTTTAATACATATATGACAGCATTTTTATTATAATAAAATGCACTTGTAAATTCTCTCTATACATATACGGTGTAATGTTTTATTTAAGTTTATATAGTATTATAATAAATTATAAATTATAAACCTTCATTATAAAATATATTACAATAAAAATGTTGTCATATATGTATTAAACAAGTTATAGTTCGATATAGTTTTTGGTGCAGCCGCGCCAAAATTTTTTGTATTAAATATTTTGTATTGCATTGTTATAATAATTAATTTGTTACAATAACAAGTAAAATAACCATATAACTCAATGTTCTAATAAAGAATCATAAATTTTACTTGTAAAAATTTATGTTATGGACATTTTTTGTAGCTAGGTTTTCTTGAATATCTTGAATAACATAATTTTTAAAGTGATATTTTTTTTTAATATTGGACACTATTAACAAACATGTTAAATTTTTATAACACGATATAATTTTTACTTTTAAAAGTTTATGTACATATACACTCAAACGCAAAAAACCCGGTACACTAAAAATTTGGGAAAAAATTACAAAATTTCAAATGATCATAACTTGGTAAATAATGAAGATACAAATATGCGCAGAAATGCAAAATGAAGCTTGAAACGTCCTCTTTAAGAATATCTGAATGGCAATTATGCTCGACCATTTTTTTCAAAATGGCGGATGATAAAGTGAGAGGATGCAAAATTGATAATCAAAGGTCCGTGTTCGCGATGGTGCATGGTGTGCATCAGGTTTCGCAGCGTAATGGGACCAAATGCACATGAAAGTATAGAGTGTTATCTTTAAAATGCTACTTTACCGAGCTCGATGTGATCATTTTTCACTGAGTTGTTCCAAATTTTGCTAAAAATGCGGTTTTCTTGTTAAATTTGCATAATTCAGTGAATAAGTATCGCATCAAGCTCTATAACGAAGTATTTTAAAGAAAACATTGTATACTTTTAGGTACTTTTCGTCCCATTGAGCTGCGACACTTACTTTGCTCCATGCGCCGTCGCACGCTCGAACCAAAATATGGCGTCGACCCCGGGGCTTATTTCTATTATTTGCACCGGATAAGGAGGGGCAACGGTGGAGGCCGGCATACATGGACAGCAGGTCTTAAAAGGATAGCAACCTTTGACTTTGAGAGATTGTCAGCTTGTACCACCAGGTATAAGTAACAATGCCTCTCTCTGTAGTCGCCGTGCGCTCGGGATAGCACTAGAGATGTCGCTTCCGAACGACATCTCTCAACGTTATCTGGGGAGGGGAGAGTGTCGTGAGCGTGGAGCGTCAGATAGCTCAGTGGTCTAGAGCAGTCGCCCGGCAAGCGAAAGACACCCGGGTTCGATTCCCGGTCTAGCGACTACTACCGCGCTCTCGATATTTTTCTCTCCTCGGAACGAAAAATGAGATGCAGGTCCCGAACGCACGGCGTCCCGTCGCCACCTAGTACACCCTCCTTCTTTCATGGTCGTGAGCATGGAGCGTCAGATAGCTCAGTGGTCTAGAGCAGTCGGCCCGGCAAGCGAAAGACCTGGGTTCGATTCCCGGTCTAGCGACTACCGCGCTCTCGATATTTTTCTCTCCTCGGAACGAAAAATGAGATGCAGGTTCCGAACGCACGGCGTCCCGTCGCCACCTAGTACGCCCTCCTTCTTTCATGGTCTCATCTCGAACCTTTTTTTAGCAACTTTTCATGTTCTCCTTTTTATCACCCGCCATTTTGAAAAAATATCGTTGCGCACAATTTCGATAGATCTTTCGAAAAGTACGGTTTCAAAGCTTTCAAACCGTTTTTGAAATTTGCTGCTAGGATATTTAGGTGTCGAGATATTCAATTTCGAATTTGCAACAAATGTCGATTCAGCGAGGCTTAAGGGGCTAAGAGGCTCTGCGGTTCGTTTGGCTCTTTCATAATTTCAATAGCCGCGTTCATTATTCTCTATACAATAATTCACACAATTTTGCGAATTGGAAATTTAATTTTTATCAAAAGTTATCATTCTTTACCCTTCAGTTACGCATGATCACTGTGGTATACACTTTAGTTCGCGAAGCTATCCCTAGCTCTCTACCTCCGTACGATTGGCCATTATGGTACACAGCTTGAATATGCTGTTCAAGATCGCGCCTGAGTTCGCGGTGACCCGGCGCACGGGATGCCGAGTCGCTGGACGCCACCTGAACGTCGAAATTCCCTGGCGCTCCTAGTCCACAGAGCC